CTAGTTACGGTCCACGGCTTTATTTGTGCTCGCTCACGACGCAACTGCTACCTATTGTACAGACCATCTTAATATATTACTATCCTTTGTTATGTGAATCTATTCAACGAAATGATAGTGGAAAAAATAACTCCATGTATATGTTTAAAAAGTATCTTAGTAATAAAATAATCTTTCGTTGAAACCTATGTTGTCTCTGTCTTGTCAATGAGAATGAAAGAGATAACAATATGTATTCATAGAAGGCAATGAAATTCTACGGATAATACTAAATATTAGTTAAAAAATAACATCGTAACATATTCCGTTTTTTTATAAGAATTATGTATTGAGATGTTATTAGGCTTGCTAATTAAATACTCTATTTGTCAAGCTTTCAAATACAAACATAAACATCGTAAATATGTAAATTGTAGTACTTACTTCGCAAGAAGTAATTAGTATATTGAGTTATTACAGATTTCCCTGATTTTATATTAATTATCGATAAACTGTGCGTATGTCCTCCAATGATAGTCATAAAGTCTTTATTCACAGATAGTGTTTACTAAGTCATCATTATAATATTTAAATAAGCGTTGCGGCTAATATAATAAATAGATATATATATGGTGCCAAGTAAGGAGAGTTATTCTTACTTCTTACTAATATTATAAATGCGAAAGTTTAGATGGATGAATGTTTATTACAGTTTTTAGCCTAAACTGCTGAACGAATTTGGATGAAATTTTATGTAGGTGTAAAAGACAGTCTGGAAGAATACATAGGCTACTTTCTTTTTTTTTATAATTGCACGAGGACGGATTTACAGGCGAAAGCTTGTTAAAAATATAAGAAGAAAATCCGATTTCTTCTGAGAATTACTTCAATAAAAACATTTACATTTTTTATTACTATCAAGCTTCTTAAAAAAGTATTTACGCAATCCAGCAATTAAAAACTAAATCCAGCCGACTGGTACACAATCATAAAAACTAAGAAAGTATCTGACACCAGTAATAAATAAGTCTTACTAAAAACTTTGAGTTATTATTATATTCCGTGTTATAATGGCATTAAACTATAGAAGTAATTAATCCATAGACTCGACCACTCGGGTCCATGCAGCTGGTTCGATGCCCGTTCCGCTTTGCCCACCGCGTGTGAACAACTCCCTATCATTTCGGGAAATTCTCTAGAACACACAATGCTTACCATCCTTATGCCTTAAATGGTCTCAAAGATTGCCTTGTGTGGTAAAAGATCCATAAAATTATTAAAAATCATTAAAAAGTTTCAAAACAATCCAGTACAGCGGCAACACTACGTACAAAATATAGAGAGGGTATAAGTTTTTTTAGAAAATAATATGATAAAGATGTCATTAGGGACAGGACTTATATGCCAATGATCTAGTATTGGGCCGCTACTTTGAAAAGGTACAGATTTCTACTTTATAGTATATACCTAGATTTAAACAAAACACAAATAAGGATGAATCTCGTAATCAAATGTGAGATGACTGCATAATGATTCCAATGACGTAAGTCACGGCTCCTGATTCAAGTCACAAGTCCTAAAAGCGACTCGTCAAGCAAGTTTGCAAATTTCGACAAACACTAATCTTTGAATTAACAGTCCACGTACGTGGAGATTCTCACGATAGCGTAGCAACAGTATTGTCTAACAATATACGTGATTGTTGAATCAATTTTAACGATATCAAAACTTAACAAACGTTTAAGACCTTAAAATAAATTTTATACCCATCAAATTACTTCTAGATACTAAAAACGGGTGTACATCTTTGACTGAACGTGCACAACTATAGTGCGATTGTCGATTGTTTCACAGTCCATTCAACACCTCCATATAAGTTCATAGAAATCAAAACACGACGAATCAGTTGTGCGATACTTTAGTCAAAGGTGTGCGTGCGCTCTTAAAATTGTGTTTCGTATTGTATGAGTAAATGTTCTTTTGTTTCAGGTTCAGAATCTCGGGTGCAATGTACTCCCGAAGTGATGGCGGTCACCATTCCCATGGATGGAGACAGGAAGATCTCCTATCTCGACAACCTTAAAGGTAAACTTAATCTGCTCTTTATCTGTTATTATATTCCGCACCAGTTTTATTGTCTAAGATAGAATTATGTTGGATGGTACAAAAATCTCTTTGGTGATATTACGTGAATAGAGCATCTGCTAGCTTCCTTAATACTATTTTTTAATAGGACACTAGTGACATAATTTCCACCTCCTATACTGCGTTATATTGTTAAAAGAAACAGAGTTCATTTTTGTGTGTAGAAATACTACAGTTTTCTGCAAAATGTTCTGGTTCTTTAACTCACGTTCCCGAGAACAGTTCCTCATCGACTGCCTAGACAAATGTCTCTTTAAACTAAAAACAATTCTGTTAACCATTCGCATACGTTGTATACCTTTGGCACACACTCTGCCGTGTTTCTTATGTCCACTGTGCTTGTGCGAATTATTAAATATTGTTTAGAATACCTATTTGCCTTGCATTCTTAGAAACTCGTTTATTAAGATTTGTATTTTTATTTCTATTTATTACAAATTTTAAGAAGCTCGCTCTTTTAGTGAGGTAATTTTCTAGGATTTAAAGGTGATAAAAATTATCTTTACTTATGTTCATTGAATATTCAAAAGTGCTCTTGAATATTATAATTCTTCCTTTGACATCTTATAGTGATTAATTTCAGTTCAGATCAAAGGAGTTAATTCCTTTATACTATGAATTTTGATAACAAAGGCTGTCAAATTAGATAGGCAATCGAGAATTCATTAAAGGAATAAAGCGTTGATGAGATTAATACAAGATTATAAAGCGTATGAAATGCTCCATTATTCAAATCAATTGTATATTTTAAATTAACTATTATTTAATTCATCATCACTATTTCAAGAACATGATAAGAAGGTTCCCATTTTTATACGGTAACTATTGATAGAGTTGAACTCTTGGAAGAGTTTTTTTTAGGACAGCGCTATGTCGCCTTCTCGTACCTCTAAAATGTAGGATCAGAGATTTCGGGTACAGCTTTATTTCTTTATTAAAGGTTTATTTTCTCTTTGAAATTTTACAATATAACTTACAAATTAATATCACATTTAAAATACTAAAAACTACTATGAAGGGATTTACTTTCAATTTGTAAACGATAAATATCTCCATTCAAGTTACCCTGTTTCTATGTCTAAACGCTATTGATGTGAATGCAGTAAATCCATTCAACACTGTCAATTCATTCGTCAAGACTTCTAAAATGCGGTATTTAAACTGCAAAGATCCTATACATTGATGAATTTCAGTTTGCCATTCACTGTCAATAGCATCCACTTTATTGCATACGAACTATTTATCCATCTAGAAAAGAACAGGATGAAACGGGAACTTAAAATCCAAGGTCTATCGTAATATGAAAAAACACTATCAATTGTTTTCCTTAACATTTGTTGTTTTTAAGAAGACACATTTGACTAAACTATCGCATAACTGTTGAGCGATTATCTGTTTAGGCGCACAATTAAAAATTGAGTGTTGGGCACACCTCCATTTTAGCTTATAGGAATCAAATCGTCTAAATTTCATTAAGACGAGCACGCACTTAAAATCGATTCAATTAAAATTTTCAAATTAACCCAGACGAATTGAAGTAATTGTTTGAAAGTCACTGGCAACAGGTACACAATTTATAAACCGTCAGGATTCAACGAAAATGGTAAAGAAGCAATATCGCGGGAGGACGCGTTGTAAATCTTTCCTTGTGTATACTGAATTGACACATCAATGGAATGGAAAATATGCGTATAAATATCACATAAATGTTTTCGAATCGAAAGAAGAAATCTGCCATAGTCCCTGGGAACAGTCAGGATTTATGGACGAATGAAACAACAATAACAATAGGAGTTAAGTTCATAAATAAGACTGTAACAGCGCATTGTTTAATCACGCTTTGATGCGTATGAGCTTCTGAAGGTGCGCCACTGCTCCATTTTTATTGTGCATTCGAACAGTTGAATTGGCTGTGAAACAATCGACAATCGACAGTAGCACAACAGTTGTACGATAGTTTAGTGAAAGGTGTGCGCTTGCTCTAAAATAAGAACTGCTTCGTATGAAAAAAAATCAACTTTAACAAATAAAACTAATAAGAGAGTTAAAGCAGTGTTTTTAAATGTTTGCAAAAACAATATCGCAAACATGTAGCTATTGTAACTGGAATCATCTCAAACGAACTAATATCGACTAAAGTTTACTGATATATCAAGTAAATAAAGGCTAGTGTACCTTTAAATCCATTATCACATTTTTCAGATTATAAACCATGTCTACCAAACATCGAGAACAATGCTGCGACTTTCGTACTCGACCTGCAGGACCATCATAAATGCGGCGTCACCCGGGTCATCAATCAAATTACGGTAACGACATTTCACATCATAGCGATTATAATTTGTATCGAAATAAAGCAATTGATAAGACAGTGACAAATCACCATATATCAGTAAAGGATTTTCCAAAAATCGACTTTCTCCAATTCATTTATTGTTCATCTTCAAACTGACCCATAGAAAACGAGATGACTTGGTTTTCCAGGTCATGTTTGCGTAATACTAATAATAGACCATAAAAAAACAAAAGCAAGTAGCCTATGTGTTCTTCCAGACTATCCTCTACATCAACACACTACAAATTTTATCGATATTGGTTTAGCCGTTTAGGCTAAAAATTCTAACAAATAACCATTGATCTAAAATTTCCCATTTATAATATTAGTAAGAAGTATATTTTAAATTCCAGGGTAGACGTACCTTCTACCACAAGATAATGATAGAGCTGGGCGATGGCGGTCGGGAGACGGTGACTGTTCGCTGCATGGTGACCGGCAAGCCGCATCTGCTCGCCAGGCGAGCAGTGGAGCCATTCCCGCTTGACTTTAATGAACCTGAGTAAGTAATATTATAGCTACTTTTACTAATGCTAATACGTTGACTATGGCCTACTCAACCTAAGTTAGGATAGGCTCCGAGTCCCTCAATGCGGAAGTACAATGAGCTGGTGATGAAGTATAGCTACGGGATCCTTCTTTAAACAATTCTGGGAATTCTGGAAACGGGAGTTATAGCTTCTATACATGCAGTGTCAGTAATATAGGTGTGTGACTAAAATGCCTTCCAATTTCTTCCAGTGTCCTGAATATCACGAGATACGAAGAGGGCCGAGCACCAGAACCGGTGTTAGGAGCTGTTGTAAAACAGAATGGTAAACAGTAAGTATTTACACATTTTTTTCCTTTTTATTAAATGTATACTTTTGTTTTCTGAATGGCAACTACAATTTGTACAACCCTTGTGATCAAATGTAGGTTCTAGGGTATCCTAGAAGTAATATAAAAAAGGTTTTCACCAAATACTTAAGTTCACGTCAAAGTCTTGCTAAGAAGATAAATTCTAGTAATAGACATTATTTAATTATTGGCTTAATTTCCACTAACTCTATCTTGTTTGCAGGGTGTCAGGCGAGATATCAGTTAGCCCGGGCACTCCGCTGTCGATGGAGATCTTCTTAGACAACTCTTCTGCTCCAGTGTACGGCTTGTTCGTTAGTTACATGCACGTCACCGATACTGGCAAGCAACAGGAGACTATTGTCTTTAATGGGTAAGTGTTTATCATCTATCCTTCTATCCTATCCTATCCTATCCTATATCCTATATATTATAATAAAGCGTAAACACACACTTCTTTGTTGCCTATGATGTCAGCTATTACAGCATGTTTTTGAATAATTCTTTTTTTAATAAAATATCCTACACTTACGTCACGCTTTAGACTATATATTTTCACGCCATTAAACTTAGGGGTAAATATTTTGGATAAAAACCATAATGTGGGAAAGAGACCATAAGTTGCTGCCAACATCAAGGAAGCAAGACTGTCAAGGTTTGTCATGTCATGTCAGTTTGACATTTGCAATTGATAATTTGACAAATGTAAACAATATATTTTTTTTATAATTCTATGTGGATGAAGTCGCATGGGAACAGCTAGTCATTGATATTATTATTTTCATTATCATCACCATGATTATTAGTAATATCAAATCTTTTGCAAATTTTGCAGTAAAGACTGGGTTAAAAATATTAGAAGTGGGTGGGACAATTTAAAGTACAAATCCCTGAAATATTGATTTAAAATATTTTATATGATTAAAGAAAAGTTTACACTTTTTTTAAAGTGTACAGATTAATATTTAATTGCATTTTAATTAATTCCAGATGTTCCGTTGACCCTTACTTATTCGACAACTTCGTGACGACCGACGGCGACGTGCTCGCAGCCAAGTTCAAAGCCTTCAAGTTCCCGGACACCACTTATGTTCAGTTCCGTGGAACTGTCACCGTCTGCTTGGACAAATGCCAGGGGGTAAGTCTACAAGTACTGCAATATAGAAACAGTAGTTTATGGTCTCATATATTGGTGAAAGTGTTTCTTTGATACCAAAACTTTGTCTGGAGCTAAACTCTATTTAACTTAATCAAAAAGAGAGGTGCCGCTGAATTATATACTTTTTCCATCGGCATCGTCAGCTCACTACTATACGTCCCAAATAAGGGGCTCGGAGCCTGCCCTAAGTAAGGGCTGCCGTAGTCAACCATTCTGTCCCACTGCGGGTTGACTTCACAAATATCTTTGAAATTATTCGCCAATATGTGCATGTGGCGTCACGATGTTTTCGATATTCGAAAATCACATTGGTACGGCGGGATTCGATCCCAGGTTCTCTTGATTACAAGTCAAGTGCTTAAACCCCTGAGCCACCGGCGCTCTCTTTACTTCTTATAGGTAATATAGGTAAATATATTATTTTTGTAGTTTTGTAATCCAATATTCTTTGTTTCTAGGTTCAATGCAGTAACGGCGCAACAGGATACGGAAGGAAGCGGCGCTCAGTTGCCTCAAGTGCTGACTCCAACAAAGTTTACGAAGTGTCTCTCACCACATTCATCAAAGTCGACTGGACAGATCCCAACGCCGCTAGAGACTCAGGTATGTTAATTTAATTAAAGAAAATTAAAAATTAACTAACACACTAAAGACAACATATTCATCCAAAGTGAGCTACTTACATTATATTATGTGTTGAAAATCTCTACTAAATAAATTCCATAGCAACTAATTTGTTTTTAATTGTTTATTGTTTCTGACTGTTTATTAAGATTTTTTAATAATTATTAAGTTAGCTTTCGCCCGCGACTCAGTCTGCGTGATATTAAAAAAAGCAAGTAGCCTATGTGTTCTTCCACACAATCCTCTACATCTATGCCAAAATTCATCGAGATTCGTTCAGCCGTTTAAACTTCAAACTCAATCATCCATCATCATCATCACCAAACAAACATCCATCAAAATTTTCGCATTTATAACATTACTTAAAAATATATTTAACTGGCTTTCTCGCGCGACTCCTTTCGCGTGGAATTAAAAAACAGAAAAGCAATAGCCAATGTATTCTTCCGGGCTATTTTCGTTTAAGCTACAACAAACATCCATCCATCTAAACTTTCGCATTTATAATAGTATGATTTTTTAAAGTAACTTACGATGTACTAATGTCTGGGCGCAAATAGAAAGTAACTAAATATCATGTTTTTATTTTGATTTCAGAATATCTGTCGTTATTAAAAAATCTGAAAGTAGCAAATCAGAAGCTCGGGGACGTGGACGGCACGCCGGCGACAGTCGCCGAGCACACGCAGGACAATAGGCTAATCGTTCATACGATGGACGAGCCCAACGCCGCCACTGTTCTCACACAGAGCTGCTTATTGCTTCTCATTAGCTTACTTTTAGCGTATTAATATTATTATTATTATTCATTTATTTTAAATAAATGTGAACAAAAGAAATCTCCACTAACATAAATAGGAAACATTTGTATTTTTGTATGTATTGAAATAACTCAAAAAGTACTAGAGCGATTTTAAAATTTCTTTCATCGTTAAAAAGATAATTTATCTGTGAGTACCTTTTTTTTAATTTCACGCAGCCGAAGTCGCGAACAACAGCTAGCTAACGATAGAATTACACATTCACTTCTGTATGTACTGCAGTAAATACGCTTTTGTTTTTCACTTATTCAAGTGTATGCGAGACGAACATATACTAAAGAGCGAGACATAATTATAAAATTTTAGAGATTTATTAATTCGAGATTTCATTATTTACATTTATTTATAACTGAATGAAGATGTACTGTTTTGTAAAAGTTGTACCGAATTTTAAATGAGATATCACAACTAAACTTTTAGATTAGTATATGAGAAAAGAAATGCTAAGATAGAAAAAGTTAATGTAAAATTTATGTACAGTCTCGGAAATCTTCGGTGTTTCACTTTGGGAAATTTACCTTGTTCATTGCAACGAGACTAAGTCCACCTCTTCCTACAAATACTTATTAGATAGCAGTGAGTGGTGCAAATGACGGGATAATAATAAAAAGAAATTAACCGTGTATTACAAAATGACTGTTCGTATAGACACGTTTTAAAGCTGCGTCAAATTTTTTTATGTTCCGCGTTGTCTCAAAATGTTAAAACGATTGTAGCTTTGAGTTCGAACACCGACAGTTTCCCCAATTGTACTTTGATTTTGAATGTGATAAAAAGACAATTATCTATATTTATAGTAAATTGAAATTTTAATACTTTATTTACATCTTTTTTCAAAATAATGAACATCACAAATAAATGTTAACTGTTAACGATTACACTTTACCAACTACATTTAAATTACTATAATAATTACTTAGATTTAAGTGAAAGTGATTTAATTTTAATTTAAGTATACCGTAAAGTTTAGTGCCTACTTAATTAAAATAATAAAACTAATGCTGACGCATTTAAGTCCGCTAGTCTTTAAAATAAATGGGTTTATACAATAAGAAATATATGCTCATTTTTCTTCTCGAATATGATACCATTACTGTAATTATATTTAAAAAAATGATGTAATCTACGCAGATATGGTAAATATTTTGACTGTAAACTGTGCTCAGTGGACTGAACAATTACAAATATATGCAAAACAATCAATAAGAGAGGTGTTGCTACTATATTTGTAAGATATGCAAATATATCAAATTACTATCAACTCGGACGTTTTAACACCCTCGCGTTACATGAGTAGGTAAATTAGCAAAAAATAAATTGAATTTATACCCAATAAACAATTTTTCTTCACACTATACGAGTATACCACAAATTACTAATAAATATATAACAATTTTTCTATTTAGAAAGATAATTGCTACAAACCCTAGGTAAAGATCTCGTAACAATGTTAAGTTACTTTGAGAGACGGTCTAAGATAACTTGACATCCAACTATGCTATGACATCGACAAAGCAATACGAATTTACCTCTTTAAGGCAATCAGACATGAAATGGAACAAAATCTTAATATACCAACATCATTGTTATTAAGCGAAGAATGCAAAGGACTGGGTATTTAATAGTTACTTTTAAGTTTTCCATCTTATGTGTTAAATAAGCAACTAAGAAAAAATCCTACATGGTGCTTCATAATACGTAACTATTTCTCAGTTTTGTAATTTACTAGGAATCTAAACTGCTAAACATAATGTTAACAAAGGAATTAAAATAATGGAATAAATATGTCTTACAATTATTCTGTTTTATTTACAAACCATATTAAAATTTAAACCTAAAAAATTAACAAGGATGATAAAATAAGTTGAAAAGAATAATTTACAGAGTCCTAACGACTTTCATGTTTGACCCTAGTAGTAAGGAATCATAAATCAAAGAAATAATGGATCTCGTATTACACAAATATATGTATGTGGATGGATGGCTGTAAAGGTAGAGGAAGACCGATAGAAGTATGGATTTTGTAAAAGAGGTTATGCTTAACCCATAATTCGATAGTGTCCAGTGTGACGAATAACTAATTTTAAAATGTACTAAACTAGTTTAGAAAAAAATACGTGAGATTTTGAATTTAGTGTGTTGGTAACATATTTTTTTTCCTACAAAAAACCTAGAATTAAGAAGGGAGTGAATTCAGATATGGCGGCTGATAGAGATGTATGGAAGAGAGAAGAGAGTTGTGATACGGACAAGGGATAGCAATGAATAAAATGATTTTAGGAATATGAACTCGTAAATAAAACATATTCAAAGATTTCAGTCTTTTAATAGAATCATTGTAACTGATAAATCTAATATAGTTACTAATCAATGAAATAAACATTATAAAGAAATATCTAATACATCACAAGACATATCTAAGGTATATAAAAACGATTTTTGCTAAAAGTACATATTTAAGGTGCGTTCTCGTAAAACAAAGGATAAACCACAAATGTTACAATTCAAACTTACAAAGGTACGATTTTAAAATGCTTGTTTCAGCACATTTAAGAATACAAATATCAATTAAACATTCAAGCTAATATATAATTTTCGAGCAAAAATAACATGCGTTTTGAAACATTATTTTAAAATATATTTCCAAAAGGGGAAATCATCTAATCATTTTAAGACAAAACTGTAACAAATCAAACATTTGTTTTAATACAGTCATAGATTGATTATAACTTAAGTTAGCACTTAATGAAATCTACTAAAATAATAGCAAAACTAACTGCCACTCTAAAGAGTTCATTTTATAACTTACGAGTAGTATAAAATTCTCAGGAAATATAAGCAAAGATGTAGTCCCTTAGTGGCCAGTTAAAAATGACTGCAACAGTTAAAGTAATCACATGATATTTACAAAATAGTTATTTTAATGTATCTGTAATCCTTTGCTAATAACGTCCTATTTACATAATACAAGTAAAAAGCAATTTAAAAATTACAGGATAACGTACATAAAAGTAGCTTTGAAGTCAAAGGCCTGAAGGCCCGTAGAAATTATTAAGAGATTGATTTTTTATCCCAAAGAAAAATGGTTAAAACTACAATATAAATACATTTGTTTACATTTAAAAAATACAATTCGCCTGAATATTTAAGAAACATTAGTTATAAATCATTAATTAAAAAAGTAAATAGACACAAAATATCTAGTAATTACTAATTGGCACAAAACCTACAGATAAATGGCAAGGTTTTCTTTTATTCGAAATTTATGCATTACAATACTTACAACTAGATTTAACCAAAGAAGGTAACGGAATGCTACAGTTGTGCGTTTCTGAATACGATGAATAAATATTTTGATTATAGTAAAGTTAAAACTAAACATTTTTGACATAATTACTTACAAAATACTTCGGATGGCATAGTTTACCGAAAACAATAATGCTAAAAACATTCTAGTTTCTTGTTGGCAAAACAACACAATAATCATTGTATAGAACATACAGTAACACAGTTTAAAAAAAACTAAATTAAAAGTAACAGTTTAACTTAACGAAGTTACACATTATTACGTCTAAAACCACTGATCTGTAGATATGGATAGGTCGCCTGGCAATGTCTATTGCTAGACTCCTCAAAAGCTGTTAATTCCCGATAGTTAATTTTATCTCTATTATAGCTACCGTTAGTGCCAAACCGGTGATAATCATTTAGACACAAGATACGGCTTATGACCTATCCATCTATAGAGATCAATGTACCAGTCGCATTGACCGTTGGTTCCTTATGGTTGGTCTATACAATTAGTAAAAGAACATATAATAATATCATACGAGATAAGTGTTTCGATTTAATAAAGCCAGAGCTATGTTCTGTACAAATATAGATAAATGACCAAGTAAAAATCAGTGATCATCATCATCAGACAGTGTTCTTTTTTATATCTCTTAAATAAAATGAGTTACACGTTTCTACTCTAAAAACCTCCTTATGATTATAAAAATGGAATACACATCTACTATTCTTAACTTTATAAATTGATGAAAACTCTTTGAAAAAATGTACGAATTCTTTATCGTATCTCACTTTAAAATAGTGTTGAATTTAGTAATATTTTAGGAGAACACATTCATCACCTAATATAGGTATAGTTTCCTTATAGTTGTATTTTACAATAATCATTAAAATCGACCTTCAAACTACTTAAAAATGTCGAAACAGAAAACACACATGTCATAGACACAACGTTCATCATCCTCTCTATCTTTTCCTACTCTCTACTTCTCCACGGTTGACATACCGGGTTTTTGTTCTCCAAATAACTCTATCATCCGTCATATCAGTCATCACTCCCTTCTTGGTCATATCACCTTTCACGCAATCCATCCATCTCTATCTAGGTCTACTTCTACCAGTGTAAGCAAAAATAAAGTTCATGGAGACCTTCAACAATATTAATCTGTGACTTGTTTTTCTGAACCACTCTGCCAACCAGAATCCATTGTATTAGTGTCACTGTAGCAATGGTGATGACTTGTTTTTAGAATATCCTCTTTCACGTCTCTAACAGGCTCGTACTGAGAATCAGGTCCTAAGCACTTTGAAGTTTCCGGTTCATTGGAGTATACTATATCCTTTCTTCTGTCATCTTCGTCAGAGAGAAGAGACTCCTCGGTGTTAGGAGATAAGGGAGAATGAACCGGTGGTGGGGGCACGAAGAACTCTGGCTTACTGGAATCTGAACTTGATTGCCTGAGATGATCTTTAGGCAAGTTTTTAGGGCTAGTTCTAGGCATACGCAATGGACTAATATGAGCCCTCGCCTTAGGACTACCCTCTATACGTATACTCGCGTTCAAGTCTGACATTCTGCGGTCTTCAATGCGACTGTCGTTCATTCTGTCGATCTTCGAATCGTTCAACCGGTCTCTGGAATCGATTCGATCAACCCTCGAATCGTTTAGACGATCTCGAGAATCGACACGGTCTACTCGTGGATCGTTCAGACGGTCACGTGATTCGTTCATTCTATCAATTCGCGAATCATTAAGACGTTCAATTCTAGAATCGTTTAATCGATCTCTAGAATCACTCAAGCGTTCACTCATACGAACTTCATTCATCCTGTCACTGATACGGGAGTCATTGAATTTCTCACTAATTCTTGAATCATTCATTCTGTCACTTATTCTGGAATCGTGCATTCTGTCACTAATTCTAGAATCGTTCATTCTGTCGCTTATTCTAGCGTCGTTCATTCTGTCACTTATCCTAGCGTCGTTCATTCTGTCACTAATTCGAGAGTCGTTCATTCTATCACTTATTCTAGAATCGTTCAATCTGTCACTTACTCGGGAATCGTTAATTCTGTCGCTTATTCTTGAATCATTCATTCTGTCACTAACTCTGGGATCATTCATTCTGTCACACATCCTCTCAGTCATTCTCATTGAATTGTTCAGTTGCTCTATTTGTTGCTCTGTTAACCTGACCGAACTGTTTAAGTCTTGGCGTATTTTTTCTTGATTTTTCATATGTTTGTCACTCTGTCTTGGTCGACGTTTGGAACCAACTTGTGGTTGTGGACGCTGCTGTCTTGTTAATGTAAATGATCCCGTGTCAGATTCCGATGTGGATTCTGGATGGTTCTCTATGGTCCCGACAAGGGCTGATACATTCGGATTTATGCAACAGTCGGCCTGAAAATGAGCAGATTTTTTTTTAATTCCTAGAATGCTTTTACAGAGTTATTCATAAACATATTAAAAAGAATTGATAAAATATACCTTGACTGAAACATTACAGCAACTAGATACATCAGCAAAATAAACTTCAGATTCCGCGTTCTGATTGGCCGCGCGGCAGTCTTGCATTGATGCCCTGCAATTTTAATAGGTATTTGACAAATAATGTCCCAAACCATACTATACGCACAAAAATGGCATTCATGTAATTTATACCAACCGCATTGGAGAATGTTTATCGTTTTGGAATCCCAAGTTTTCCTTGCCTTGCTTCTGACAGGAGTCACTGCTTTGATCTGACACTGGAAAAAATAAAAATAGACTGTACCACAGTCTTATAATAGTAGGAGCGTGCGCATAACTTTGAATAAACTATCGTACAACTGTTTACTCTCGCTTTGATTTTTAGTTGTGCAACGTAACAGTTGAATTGGCTGCGAAACAATCGACAATCGCACAACAGTCGTGCAATAGTTTAGTCAAAGGTGTGCGCCTTCTCAGTTTGAAGTTCTATGTTTAAAATCTCATTGTAAGTAGAAAAAAAGGAATTTACCTTTACTAGCACTCTTCTGATGCAAGCATTCTATAGCGATGTTATCGTCCACTCGACAATCTCTAGGCAGATTCCCTGCACTCATACCTAACGACCTAGCACATCCCCTATAAGGTACTAAATGCCCTCGTAGTGTATTAAACCGCTCTGGACCCAATTGAGCCATTTCAGCTTGCAGCCGAGCTATTTCATTTGGATCTGTCGGATACATTTGATTCATGTGAGTCATTTCTGGGTTCATACGACTTATTTCCGGATTTAAACGGCTCATTTCTGGATTCAAACGGCTTATTTCTGGGTTCATGCGGCCCATTTCTGGGTTCAATCGACTTATTTCTGGGTTTATACGAGTCACGTCTGGATTCATTTGTACGTTCGTGTGCATTAAATAGGAACTTCTTGCGCACGTGTGCGGTTGGATAGCCATATTGGCATGTTCATGAACAGGCATGGAATTCCTATGAACGTCTATGTGATGGTGATGAAGCAGGGTAGCAGCTGCAGGATCTTGATGATGAAGATGATGTCTGTAATTTATGCACAATTATAAATTTCGATTTATTATTTAGTTCATAAGATAATAAGTATGTAAATTTTATAAGGAGATATTTTCCTTTATAGAGTACTTACCTACTACCACTCCTTCCCTGCGGACTGTAGGGCGGCGGCGGGCCCCACACTCCCGTCTGGGCATCAAAACTTCCACTCGCTTCGCCGAATCCTTCCTGATAGCCCTGAGTGAAGCCACTCGCTTGCCCAAAATTACCCTGACCCTGAGCAAAGTTACCCGAATTTTGTACAAAGTTGCCAGGAGTTTGTGAAAAATTTCCCGAAGTTTGAGCAAAAGTTGCTGGATTTTGTGAGAAATTTCCCGAATTCTGTCCTCGTTGAAATGGTTGATTGAAATTCGGTGGATAAGAACGTTCATCGTACGGTTGCGTCGGATTCTGAGGAGTTTGGTCGGTCTCGCAGAAACCATAAGCACTGTCCCCGGACTGTGGTACACCTCCCATACGGCAACGGGAACTACAAGAAAAGAGCAATTAGACACAGATAAACGATAAAAATCTATTCTATATTGAATTTATATAACGTACTTTTGACTATTACTCCTTGGCCAAGGAAACCAGCTCCACGGGGAAGTCTTTCTTGCTGCGCCGGGATTCGGAGAATACAAATTACCAATACGACCTGCAATGTAACGAACGATTAAGTTATTTAATTTATTTTTATTTGATGTATTGGTAGCTTCCCTTATTATGGTACTAGCTTTAGCCCGCGAATCTAGCATGGAATTCGAAAATCAAAAATTAGTAGTCTATGTCTTCTTTCAGACTATCCTCTTAATGCCAAATTTCATCGAGATCCGTTCAGCAGTTTAGGCTACAAAAACTAACAAACATCCGTCTACTTAAATTTTTGCATTTATAATATTAAGTAAGATTTACTATGACTAAGAGCTGACCTGGAGCCCAAAACCGATGTTGCAAGCTAAAATCCCAAGCTGGCTGTGCGGTGTGGCATTGAGCGCAACAGCTGCAATTGTTCTGCAAAAAAAAATACATTATGATTGATTATACATTCTTGGAACTCAAATTTTAAGACATTAAATTAAACTACACATCTATTAGGGATCAATGATAATAAAATTCAATTTTAAGCATTCTATCCACAAACTATTTTGTTACCTGCACGGGTCTGCCCGCGGCAGGCGTCGCCTGCCCGGTCGGCGGTCGGTACAGCGACCTGCATCGTAGCTCTAATTGCTCCCAATACATCTTCTTACGTTCATGGCTGAAAAAAATAATGCAAAATACGAGATATTAAAATGTTTCCGCCTCCAGCACCGTAAGAATAATTTTGAGCAAATGTTAAAATTTAGTTAATCTACTCTATCCAGTGAAGAAGCTTAAAAACTTCTTGAACATCAAATCGATAACTTGTTTCTTGTTACTATAGTAACTAAGACAAATAATATTGAAAATGGCATAGTTATAACCAAGACAACGATAAAAATACCGGCGTTCGAACATGAACACTATCTGAAAGCCATAAGAAAAAAAAAAACCTGAACGCTAACATATGTCACGTTAGTAATGTCAGTAGACTCCGTCACTGCAATTTTCTATCTTTTACTTGGATATTTTGAGTATTTATTTTTAGGAAAATATGTCTACATCACAGTCGCACGTCAACAGAAATTTTCCATCGCGATCAATAAGTCAAATTACAAATGAAATAGAAGAGATAACGGACGAGGAATTGGTAAAGCAAGTGAACGAGTTAAAACATCAAATCAAAGTTTTAACGTTGGAAAATGAAGTTTTCGAGAGGACTATGGCGAGATTGGACCCAACTTTATTGCATGGAATACAGCAGGCGTTGGAATACGCTACGAGGTTAAATAGTAATTCTTCATTAAACGTCGGCAGTTTTGTTAGATCTCAAACATCTAGATTGTTTTTTGAATCGTTAACAAGTCCATCAAAAATGTTTGCTAGTCCTTCAAAAATTTCTACCAAACGAGCAGAATCCTCAGCGAGAGTTGGTGGCACGGTGATGTTCGGAACCGGTCCAAAAATAAATGTTCTCGAACGGTCTGAAATTGTATCCGCCGAAATGGAGATTTTAATGGCAAACTTGGAGCTAATGCGTCAAAAAGCTGCCAAACAACACGCTTTATTGAAAGCACAATTAGAAGAACTCGAGCTCAGAGTTGAACATATACAAAATTTCCGTGAAGAGTTTTACAAGGAAGTAGTCATTGAAGGATGGGATAAGATAGCGCAGCGGATCCCAGCAGAAATATGGGTCCGATATATGAACGAGTGGGTCAAAATTACAGATAGAAAGATCGGTAAATTCAGACTGCGTACGAGCACTTTAAACACTCAATACAGCAAATTAAAAGGACAAATAAAAATAAAAGCAGAACTGAGTGAACATTTAAGGCCAGTCGATTTTGAGAAAATTAAAATTGAAAATAACGAGTGTTTATCAATAATAGATAAAAAGCTGCAGCAGTTGGCAGAGTTGAAAAAAATGACAGGAGACGCCAACTTAACATTAAGCATCCATAAGAAAGCGCTAATGGAGCAGAATATTTATTTAAATGAAGTCTTAAGCAACGTCAAGAGGAAACAAAAACAAACAATAAGTCTCAACAAAGAGACAGAAATCATAGAGAATCAAGCTAAAGGTTTAGAAGTGAAATTGGATGATATCAAAAAGTTGCGAAATGCATACGAGGTACCCGATGTAATGGATTATGTTCACGTGAAAGCTGAGATAGCAGATTTAAAACTAAGCGTCAAATTACTACAGAATAGACTTCGTATACTACAAATTGCTTTGTCCTCGCATCACAGGAGATTAAATAAATTGAGTTTGGAATCTTGAATGAAATCCTGAAATAACTTTCTATGATATTATGTGTATAAATTATTTATAGTTTCGCAAAATCTTTCATTTTGTGTCCAACCCCTTAGTTCATATTCACCATAGAATTCGTCCTTTTTGAAACACTCACTCAAATTCCACTTGAAACTTGTGTAATGTAGTTACAAACTCTAACAAAATCCATCCATCGAAATTTTCGCATTTATGATATTAGTAAGAGTAAGATTATTAAGAATGGTTACCTGAGCAGCTGGTAGGCGAGCATGCAGCTGAAGATGCAGACGAGCACGGCGCTGACGGAGAGCGCGAACACGCCGCGCAGGCACCAGTACAGCGCGCCGTGCACCACGCCACACTCCGACACGCCCTCGAACACGCACCGCACTACACAACGTACTTATATTACAAACTAGCTATTTAAAAAAAGTGAGTAGCCTTTGTGTTCTTCCAGACTATCCTCTACATCTCTACAAAATTTCATCGGAATCCGTTCAGTCGTTTAGGCTACAAACTCTAACATCCATTCATCCATCCATCTAAACTTTTACATTTATAATATTAGTATGATTGTAAATTACCAAAAGTTATAGCAAAGCTTAAATGGCTGGATAACGTCTTAAGAATATGTCACCTATTTTCAGTTACCATAGAAGACCAGCATATGTGCTGAGTGGTTTTTATATAAATAAAGAATATCATCATCAAGAGCTGAAAACAAAAGACTAAAAGTAGAAGGACGTGGACGTTACAAGAGAAGTGCAAATGCCTAATAGGCATGTGCTCCTTAATTACAGGATTTCCTAGTTAAGGAATCAAGGAAATATTGATACTGTAATCACTGATTATGGAATAAAGAATGTTTATTATTATTAAAGAAAAAAATACTGGACTCCACCCGCTAGTGAAGTGCCTTAAATATTCATGATGATGATAAAGTGGTTAAAGCCCGTCTAATCACTTTCTAACTGATTTTTTTTCTAACTGATGGCTTCTGAATTCATATATTCTCCGATGAACTTCTCTGGACATGCCTTTGTGGCTGATAAAATTTAGGCACCTTATTAATACTGCTACCTAATTAGGTAATGAGTAAACCGTAAATTCAGTATAACAGTACTATGCTACAATAATCAATTGCATACCATCTTCTTCCGTACCACTGTGCGGAGAGTCTGTAGCGACAGAATAACACGTGCAGGTCCTCGTTAGCTTCGTGTACTCGCAGAACTTTAGTGTCTGCAATCTGAGGACAAAATAAACAATTAAAATCTCTCACAACCTAAAACAACAGATTTCTTGCATGTTTGTACTCACTTGTTCATATGAATCACGGTTGTTGTGATGGTGACGAGTACACAAGTCAACGCACAGACCAAACAACAAGCGCCCACAACCTTTATCTGGAATAATAAAATACGGTTAACATAGCATTTTTCATATCTAGAAATTCAAGGTCGTGTATGTATTTACAAACAAATACATACTAAAATCTTTAACTCTCCAGAGAATCATCCCAGAAAAGCGCTCATAACAGAAATCTTCTAAACAACTATGACTGAAGCGTTTCTACAAATAGCAATATTACAACATTAAAGAATTGTTTGAACATTTGCATTAGTTTCTTTAACTACGTAATTGCAAAGTAAAGAATAACAATTTTACATATACGCATTATAAATGAATCAAACATAAAAAAGAAGCAATCATCACATACTTTTCTTACCATATAGCTGTACCGATTTCTCCTCCGCGCTAGACTCATTATGCAAACACCAGTTAGCACCAACTGAAAACAATTAAAAAATTATAAAAAAACGAAACCTCGAAATGGTAGAGCAGGTTTCAACATTTGGGCACCAATGGGTAGGCTCGCCTAGTGCAATACTACGACCACACAGCCTTAAAATGGGAAAAAATCCCGCGTTCAGTCTAATGATAATGGGTGCCGGAAGCCTAATTTTAGTCTCTTTATTGTTTTATCTTAAGAAAAGGGTCTTCTTAAAAGAAAAGGGTGGAAAAGGACACAGTGGATTTAGCGGAGGAGATGCATTTGGAGGGTAAGTAACCTACTTTTTGAGCGTGCCTTCCCTGTCAATTAATGATAGGCAACGGGAGAACAATTGGAG